GGAAAGGCCTCAATTAGACCAAATCTAATAACTGTAAGCACTGGATAAAAAGAGCTTATCGGAAGCCTACAAAGTAGGTCACGGAATAAATAGCTGAACAAGGCCTCAGAGAAGACGGAAGGGTGGAAGGCACAGGGCCTCTGGGGAGAATCAGGGGTTTGCCATCTAGGGTGCAGCCATCAGACGACCCACTGACAGCTGCTTGCCTACCCATGGGTCCCCACTCCAGATTTAAATTCCTGGGAGTGATCATCTGATTATCCCCGCCTGTGTTACATCCCCTACCCTAAAGCAAGGAGGTCAGGATCTTGTATTTGACCCCACCAAAACCCCAGAAACTTTGAGAGGAGCCAGTGACGGCAACTGAGAAACAACATTGAGAGGTGGAGCGGCTCCAGGAGAGAGCAGTAGTCTGGAGGCCTGGGAAGGGGAGTTCTTAGAAGGGAGGGGGACATTGTATCAAATACCACACTCAGGGCCAATTCTAGCATGATGAAGGTGAAAATCATAAATCAATTTGGCAACTAGGAAATCACTGATAAGTTGTGTTCTAGCGTATCTGGGAAGTAGCAGGGATGGCTAATGGCAGTGGGTTGAAGAGTGAACAGAAAGGAAAGAAATGTACTGTGTTCACCACTTTATCAGGGAGCTTGGTGGTCTCGTGGCGGGGGTGGGGGCAATGGAGACTACGGGGGTCTACGTGGTGAGGACAGGGATGTGTTAATGGCAGAGATGTGAACAGCTTTATAGCTTGGAGGGAGACAGCCAATTGGAGAGAGAAGTGGGAAAGAAGGAAAAAAAAAAGAAGAAAACAATCAAGAGAGAAATCCTGGGTGTGGTGAGGTGCTGGGGAGACACAGATCACAGGTTACCTTAACTCAGAGAAGAGACACATTTTCCTCTAAAATTGGACAGAGGAGATGAGGGTGGTTGTAGTTATAAATGGGTGTGTTATCATCTCGTTTTCTTTCTTTTTCTTCACGTATGTCTGGCGGTGTGCCTGTGCACAGAAACAGCTATATCAGAAACATTTCAGTATTTATTGCCAGGTGATTAGATATGGTGTAGAGAGTTTTAAGGAAGTTCAATCCTGAGCCTCCCTCCAGTTTTCTTTCTTGAGTAGGACACACAGTCATCTGCCGAAGTGGGGTGGTGGGTTGTGGCTGAGTACAGGTGGCCGGGTGACAAGTGGCTTCGGGAAAGAAATGTTCTATTTTAATATTTATTTAGAAGTTACACACTGTTACTCTTTCATCATGACTACATTTCAGAGAAATGTCTCTGGGCATTATGTGACTTGCCAGTAAGATTAATAAAAAAGTTAAGGGAAGTGTAATAGTTTAGGGATTTGGCTATTATTAAGAATATATGGAAAAATAAATGAAACTTCAAGGATAGAGGGTCCAGGAAGTGATCATGGGAACAGTCTGCCTAAGTGAGGAATGGAAGTTGCTAGATCAAAGGAGGTCAAAGAAAGTTTGAGGCCAGGTTTTAGGAGGATTGTCTAGGACAAGGTATAATAGATGCCCGCAGGGTTTAGGCAGATTATACGTACAAATGAGGGAGGCGACTGTGCATGCGATCCTGCTGCCCTCACGCAGTGAGTGGCAGGGACCACACAGAAAGGACTAGGGCCATCGTTTTATCACCCTGACAGCATATGGGCTTAGTGTCACCAGAGGTTCAGCTTTTCAAAAAAAGCCAGATATCTGTGTTTTATGTGAAATCTCTTAATCTTTAAAATACTGTAGGTTCATTTTTTAAAAATTATTTTTGAAAAAGCCTAGAGCAAGCCAAATGAATAGTGCACAGGATTTGGCTCTTGGATCACCTGTTTCCAACCTAGATTCTATGTATTAATAGCTACTCCTTATATATAGGGTGCTATGTTCTGAATGTTTGTTCTCCTTAAAATTCATATGCTGAAACCCTAATCCCCTGAGTGATGGTATTAGGAGGTAGGGTCTTTGGGAGGCGATTAGGTCATGAGGTCTCCACCCTCATGAACGAAATTCATGCCCATATAAAAGAGGCCTCCAAGAGCTGCCTTGCCTTTCCACCAGGTGAGGACACAGGAAGAAGGCACAATTTATGAACAGGTAACAGGCCCTGACCAGACGCCGAATCTGCCAGCATCTTGGTCTTGGACTTCCCAGCCTTCAGAACTGAAATGAATTTCTGTTGTTTATAAGCTACCAATCTATGATATTTTGTTATAGCAGCCCAAATGGACTAAGACATGGGGATTTCAAGAATCCATGTTGTATCTGGAATTATGACAGAAGAGATTTTTTTCCCCACCTATATCCTGCCCTTGAGAGAAACCCACTGCTAGCTCTCACATTTGCCTCAATGGATTCCTTTCCCTC